GTTAATCAGTAAACAGAGGGAAAAGGTAACGTGTCACTACTACACTGTATATTTCTCGTTTTTGAAGTATTTTTAGAAACTTTTAAGAAATTTAGAAACTTTTGAGTGAGTTTCCACATTAGCCTTCTGAGAACTGGTTTCATTATGCATTGAAATCAGTTTACACTAGAGTCCCTCTGGAAATTCTGTCCCATAACTCAAAGTACTGCTTTGCTGAACTCAAAGAAATCCATCTCAAAGAATAATTTCTGGTGACTATAATATTCCTTTGATGAGCCTTTTATGTGAGTATTTTTCCAAATAAATACTGTTGACCTTAAGAAACGTCTCAGTATTTTCCCCTCACTAACAGCTACTGGCTATTCCTCTGCTTGAAGAAGCATTTCTAAAGATTTTTTTTATAAAGATCCCTTTGCCAGAGTTCTACAAGTTTTATTTCTAGGAAGTAGGAGTGTAGTAAGTTCCTGTTAATAGTGCAGTGACTAATTATAAAACCACTTCAGTTAGAGAACATGCAGTTCTAGAAACACATGCAATCACTGACGGCTGATGATGCAACAGATGCCAGCTCATCAGGAAAGGTGGTGCTTTAATGAATCCTAAGAGAGACCTCCCATTGTTCTAATGTTTATATCGTGAGCTTAGCAATATTCGCAGACTGTTAACTACAATGAGTGTACACCGTTGATGATAAGAGTTAATGCCTCCTACTGTGTTGTAATATGCATTCATAGCCAAATCAAGTCCATTGTATAGTAGCCAAAGTTCAATTCTTCCCTATAGTCACTCAATATAAAGAGTATTTATATAACATTTAACACAATACAGCAACCAACAACTGTATTTTCACAGTAGGATCATTATCTTTTCAGAGTGCACCATTCCTTTGAGTGGTGCTACTTACTATAATGTACAACCTTCATTTATTGAATGAGAAATAAATTAAATCCGCAGACTGATGTATTTTCCCTTCAGCTGTGAGGACTAGCGGAGCTTTATCTGAGACCATGGTGGTAACAGAGAGGAGGGAGGGCAAAACGAGGAGAGGGAGGTCTGGGAGGCAAAGAGACTCGGAGGGGGGTGGGGATAATTGAATTATCTGCACAATGGAGTGATGGGGGGCACGTGGTGCCGCTAATGGAGGAAGAGATGTCCTTTTTAGCGAAGCTAATTGTTCAGAAAAGAGCTGAGCCTTTGTTCAGGGAGGCCCTGCTACTTTCCCAGTGCACTTATAAGCACACAATTTAGTAGCGCGTGCACACAGACACATGCACTCGCTGACACACACACACACACAAATACGCTCAGAAGAGACTTTGGAATGTGATGTGCAAGAGGGAGATGTACACGTGCATGAGCACGCACACACACACACACACACACACACACACACACACACAGGGATACACTGCTCATGTCCCAGCTAAACCTCTGATCTCAGCAGGAGGGCATCCAGCCTGTGGCACCTTCAGAGAGCATCCACCACAGATAGAGCTGAGACTGAACTACTAGACAGAGGCCACAAGGACCCCACTGTTTTACTGTTTCACTGTCTGCTCTCTCTCTCTCTCTCTCTCTCTCTCTCTCTCTCTCTCTCTCTCGCTCCCTGTGTATGTGTGTGTTTGTGTGTGTGTGTGCGTGTCCGTCACCCATCTGTGTGTCTGCTTGAGTGCCTGTAAATGAGTGACTGATTGATTACATGCTAAATGCTGTCTATTCACACGACATACCAAGCCTGTAGGGCCGTATCCATTGTCTGAGATGCTTTATGCTTTGATCATTTCACATTTTATGTTTGTAAATGTGAAGAAAAAAATTGTATTGGAATCTAAATACTTAAAACAACCAAAACTCTTGTGGCTTGCTGCAAGGGCACCGACATCAAAGACAAATATCTCTTGACAGCTGTATGGATTGCTCTAAATCGAATAACCTTTCAGTTAACTCTGTGAAAAGTAGCAGGTGTGACAGTTACATCTAAGGATTATAGACAGGCAGACAACACAGATGTGCCAGCGAGAGACAGACAGCAAGCACCAGAGAGCAGCGAGGAGGGCGAGAGAGAGAGAGAGAGAGAGAGAGAGAGAGAGAGAGAGAAAGCTGCTTTAGCTAGGGGTGCTAGACTGCAACGCAAATGAGTGAAGCCAGCTAACTGTCAAAACCATGGCAACAGCATTTGCCAGGTGAAGAAAAGAGACACTGAAACCAAAACTTGTTTGATCTGAGACATGTGTCCTTAAGTGTACAGGTTCATACGCCGGCTGGTTGTTTTATGAGAGCGAGACAATTAACAATTCCTCTGTCTCAGAAGGAAATGACACAATTTGTTTCAACAATAGTTCTTTTTTGGGGTTTCATTGTGCAAAAGTTTGACACAAGCAGTTGACACAGAGATTTCTCTGAAGATAAACTAAATGTTCAGTAGTCAACCGTTCAATTTTTTTATGGGAACTATTTTCCCCATGTGAGTGTGCTGTCCTTCAGGGTCACTGTACAACAGGCTGTCTAAGGGCAATTGAAATGGTCATTGCTCTGAGAGACAAATAAGAAACATACTGTACTGTACTGAGACAGCGATGTACTCAGATGTTTCCTGGCAACAAGGATTTAAAGCAACAATGCGTTTTGCAATCACTTTGTTGCGGCTTGTTTGTTACTTCTTTTTTTTTTTTTACAATTAGAGTTTAATAAGTCTGTTTTGTTTTGACATGCATATGTCATTCTGACAAAATATATATGTATATTTTGGTGAAATACAATCAAAAGGCTTTTTTTTTTAATTGGACTGAAACATTCTGATGTAAAGAAGTGAAGACAGAAAGAAGAAAACCCAAGTTGAAATGGGTTACAGTGACGCCAGCCCAGATATTAGTCAGCAACACCATTAAACCCCTAATGGCTGCCCTTAGGCACAAAAGGACCCGCGCTAGCCTTTTAAGAACAGATACGAAGGAGTTCATTAACAGAAAACAAAGAGGTCCAGTCAGAGAGAGTGAGAGACTGACTGACTGAGATGAAGTGAGAGGTACTGCCCCCCCCATTCTTCTCCTCACTCACCCCCACTACTTTGCCCCGGGTGAGGCAGCTCCTCTCACCGCAGAACCCACCAGCACTCTTCCCAGACGAGGCTCCTATCAGGCCAATGAAACCTGATCCAGGGCTGCTAATGGAGCCAGTGAAGTACCACCGGTTTAAAAATCCATGTGTGATCAATATCCCTGGCTCCCCAGCCTCCATCCAGATCATCCCATTTAGAAATACATGAGTAGAGTACATGCAGAAGTATCATATTGATGTGCATCACAGGTTGCGCCATATGACTCACCCTAACAAGGTTGCTCATGATGAGGTTGGATATATGGAAAAAGAAAGGGCTCGTGCCTTAAAGAAAATAATTTAGGCTTCATTGTGGCATAAATGAACAAAAGAAGGACAGAATTAGTCTTGACCTGAGTCTGTACTAATTCTTTCTGGAGCTGGATTTTCTCCCCCTTTTTTTTTTTTAAAAGCCGTAGGTTCCAGTGGAACTTGTGTGAGAATTACTATTATAATCTGTCATTACTGTTTCTGTTGCCATGGGAGGTGTTCCCTAATGGCTGTGGTTTGCTCAGAGTGGAGCCTTACTGAGGCTGAAAAGCCCAATCTTTCTCTCTTCTTTGTTGTTTTCCAGTGGCAGAACAAATTCTTGATTCAATTTTCAGTAAGGCATGGTTGCTGTGTCTGATTATTGTGGATAAGAAAGCACAAAAATCTAAAGAAAGCAATGTAAAACATGAATTAGAACAGGCACAACGCCTTATTCAAACTAGATTTCCATTGATGCTCTTGGTGACAGTTTGATTGTTTTTACTATCTGTCCAAATAAACTATCTTTAAACCCTGCATCTTTAATACACTTTATTTTTTATATAAGAATAATTTTAAAGTTAATACTGTACCTGTTCACAAAGATATACTTTACTAATAGCTGATGCAGCTGTTTAAAGAAAAAAAAAGACATGGTTGCTTTTTATTGATCAGGACAAGGTGAACAGGAAATACTCCGAGGTGTTTATGAGGGTGAGTTACAAGTTATGAGGAAGCCTGGACCTGCAGAATATGGGACAGAGAAAGTCCCACAGACTCTCCTTCTAGCTCATAGGTAATGGTTCTTCACACGTAAACTACATCTAAACTGTATTACTATTTTAAGGTCTAAAACCACCTTCAAAGATAGATTCTTCTTTTACTTACCCTCAAATAATCCAGTAGCCTACTGTTCCTATAATGTTCCTATAGTGGCTCACAGTGTCATATAGCGTACAGTATGGCAACCATATTGTACTCTATTCCGTTTTCGCACCCTATAGTATGCCTGAAACATTCCAGTGTAATTCCTTTAGGGACCTACACTGTGTAATTTGTGAGTGGATGAAGATTTGTTCATAACCTTGATTGTATTTCTGGGAACGAATGATGATATGATTCTTGAACGAACTACAGTATTTGCTGTCATCATGTTGAAAGTGATAGTATCCCTCTGTGATTTGGGTAAGCATCACTACAGTTCACAGCAGCTCTCACGCCTCCATAGTGCGTTTCATCCCTGTACAACGCGAGTAATTTACGGGAACATGTAAACTCCTGATAACGTGAAGGGGTCTTGGTACAAACAGCTTCTCACAGAGGCACGGAGGAGGTGGCAGGAGTAGAAGTACCCTAGTAGTGGTAGTGTGCGAGTGCGTGTGTGTGTGTGTGTGTTTGCGTGTATGTGTGCGTTTGTGTATGTGTGTGTGTGTGGTTAGTAAGGTGTGTGGTGGTGTTTGTCGAGGTGGGGATGTGGGGGGGGGGGTGGTGGCATTATTTTTTTTTTTTTGTTCTAGTTTATTGTCTTTATTGTAATTGAATTGTGAATCAACTGGCAAGTCAGTCCCCTTAAACACCGCCCCTTTCAGCTGTCGTCGCGCTCTGTCTCTTTGCAATGCAACGCCCATAGCCAGAGATAGAGAGGAAGGAGTGAGTGAGTGTGTGAGTGAGTAAGAAAGAACGAGGAAAAGAGGGAGTGTGTGTACATGTAGCCGGAGAGGGAGAGAGGGAAAGAAGAGAGAGATAAGTTAGGAGTTAAAGAAACCGAATCGGTTTTTGGTGAGAGGGAAAAGCTAAAAAAAAGGAGAAAGAAATAAAGAAAGAAACATCGGCCAGTTGAATTGACCGGGGCGCCAAAGGAAGAGAAGATTTTCCCATATATTGTGTTTTTGGAGCTGTTAGAATAAAAGAGGGACGCGGCGTTATTAAGTCACACTGATCTGATGATCATGACGGCAGCTGTCGATATGAAACCGACGTTAACAATCATAAAGGCTGAAAAAATGGACGGTGAGTAATACAACTCTTTTGTAAGAGCTTGACAGTTAACACGAGACTAACATTACTCCTAGATGTTCTCCTTGTATCAGAACCGGCTGGTGGGTAGAACACGTTCATGTTAATTCTCGGTAGATAGATGCGCTGAGAGGGACATGACGTCCTGGCATCTCAGTGTGAACACTGGTGCTGGTTGCCTAATATTGGACAACACGCAACACTTGAGAGAGGAAAAATACACGCCTGAGGCTCCACAGTCATGCAGTAGACTCTCCTGTAGATGTGTGTGTGTGTGTGTGTGTGTGTGTGTGTGTGTGTGTGTGTGTGTGTGTGTTTGTTCTTATTATTGAATGAATCAGGCTCTCACTAGTCTGCTTTTAACAGTTCACAATATGATGTGTGTGAAGCAAGGTGCCAGTATGAAAAAGTTATTAGAGTCCAGTTTTTATATTGCTATTCATCACTAGACTTATTGATGCCATGTAGGCAAGATATAATGTCATACAATATAACAAAAAATGATTCATCACAATGTGACAGTTCCTGTATTTTAGTACTCTTTCATGTAGCTGACATCCTCTCAAGCACTGCATGTTTTAAACACATATTGCTCTAATTACAGCTAATTAGTTGTCCAGATCTGCTCTTACATGTATCCTTATGCAAGTTCAGTTTTGTCACATTTTGTTTTGGATGTGTGTTGCTCAAATTGTCTATTGATATATGCTTTGTAGGTTTGTTGTACAAATGATATCCCTCTCTCTTTCATCCTGCTTTGATCTCACTGGGGATCTATCACCATCTCCTCTCTCTATCTCCCATCTAAGCACCCACCTCTGACCCATATACTCAGTGCCATACTGGGAGAGCCAGGGCATTCTGCCCAGCCGGCATGGGGGAAGACAAGCAGTGGTGCTTAATTACCCCCTCCCCACCAACCCCACTGTCTCCCTCTGCCTCCCTCCCTTCTTTCTTCTCCACCTCACCCTCCTCCTTAGTGGTTGAAACTGACTTTCCAGAGGGAAGGAGAGACAGACTGAGGTGATGAATCTGCAGTGCTGAGGCTTGCCTCTGTGACCCTGCTGCCTGGAAGACTTGGCATGCTCCAGGGGTAGTCCAGGGCACAGTCAGGGAAGCCTGTAACTGCTTTGTTTGTGTTGGGTTTTTAAAACTTTGTGTGGTTTCACTTCTCATTTTTACTCAGACACACATTATACATGGTGGCATGTATGGGTGATTTGCATTTTGCTAATCCCCAGTGCTTTTGCAGCTCCAGTGCCATCAAGTCTGTCAGTAAAGCAGCAAACAGCATTGATGCATCATGGAAATTTGATACTAATTGCTAGTGTTGACCCACTAAGGGGCTGTGACTCACCACATTAACCAAACTTCTCCTCACTGTCAATACCTGCACAGCATAGATTCTCACATATGCATCTCACAAACTCGCATAAAAAAAAAAGTGCTGACAGCTGCAGTTAAGTTGCCAAAGCGTAGTGCTATCTTGCAAAACCATTTCGCAATGCTTGCTCCTGCTTACGCTCACTTGGGTGCACTCGGGTCAAGTCGAGGCTGCCAAGGAGCAGTTCACAACTTCACACAAACACATAATTTCTCCACCTCTCACACACACACAAACACACAGGCTGGCTTTTATGTTCACTTCTCGGTATGACCATGCCTTCAAGATAAATTAACTACTCATGTCCACGGCTGTTACTGATCCAAGTAAGACACATGTCCTTCTGCAGTGCATGCATGTAAAGCACCATGACAGGCTGTTTGTTTACAACTTACAGAACAAGATAAGCGCTTTGTACAAAGCCAAAATGCATTTGTTGATTTGTTGGATTGTGAAAGTAGCCGCCCTCCCAGTGGACATGACTCCTCGGCTCTTTGCAAGCACAGAGCTATGGAATTGTGGGAACAATAGGGAAGACACTTTTCTCCAAACACCTGCAGCCACATACTGTACATACATGCATACATGAACACCCCACAAAGCTAATAAGTAGTTTTCAGCCCACCTTACTATATTGTTTGTTTTCCTTTGCGACGGATGTGCAGACAGTGTCAGCTTACCCAAAGCCCACCCCCTCTCTCTCTCTCTCTCTCTCTCTCTCTCTCTCTCTCCAGCAGAGGTAGTTCCCTTCAAAGCGCTCACACACTGTCGGGGTCAGAGTTGCACCCAAACAAGGCTTCTAACGTTCCACCAAGCTTTTAGTCCTCTATTTGTAGCAGTCAGTTCCTGACACAGCACACTTACTTCAATGTAACCCAGATTGTGGTAGGTTGTAATTGAAGGCATCAGGTAGCCATAACAAAAACTGTCAGCTCTACAAAGGTGGGTTTTACTTAACAGTGTAGGTGTTTCTATTGTAAAATTGCAGACATGAAAGCACAAGAGCCTCATCTTTCTTCTTACTTGTGTATCGCTGACTTTGTTATTGAGCGGTAGAGCGTATTCATGTGACATTGTTCTGTGGTTAAGTATAGATTTAATACTCAAGAGAGCTGTCAATCATTTACAGTACAAGTCTGTTTGAGATGGAGTGAGTCGTCCACGTTTTTGCTTTCCTTCTGTGTTCGTCAGGTCAGGGTTCAGTGAGTGACAGGAATGTTTGTGAGCATGCCCTGCTGGGTGGCATGCATGAAGGCATAGAAGGAGCTCAAGGGGGGGGCTCCCTTTTTTTTTTTTTTTTTTTTATCTGATCAAAATGCTGCTGTTTGTTATAACTGGCATGCCTGGTGCCTCTGCCGAGAGCCCTTATAAGGCATCTCCTTCCACGCCCGCCACGTACAGTATGCACACAGGCACACACAGGCCATAGCATACGGATGACTCTTACAAAAGCTTCACTGACTGTCTTTTCCAAAAGGTGCCTCCCGTGTGTTGGTACAGTGTGGAGAGGGGTAGCTCGTGCCAGAACAGAGCGCGTTACATAAGCTTCAGGTTTTTTGTTTTTTTTTTCTTCTTTTTTTTTTTTTTTTTTTGCTCCGCTTTGTTTGTGTCAGCACTCCTTCAGTAGTGCAGTGTAATATATGCCAATGTTTGAGTGTGCGTGGCTGGCTGGCAGCTGTGCAAACACTGTTTGGGTGATCCAGGCTTCTCTTGATGTGGTCTGTCAATGAATCGGGGCAAAACGGAGCAAACAGGTCCGTTTTTCATCTGACGTTCACTGTGTCAAACTGAGGGCGATATGTTTTGCCAGATCAAAACTTGATGAGTCAGTCCAGTGTTCAGTGTATCACACATATGTCATTAGGTAGTGTTTGACCAGGCCATGTCTGCGCCCAGAAGCAACAGATACCAGCTTGTTCAATGCTGGTCGGACTTGTCAACAGACTGGCTGGATGCTAGTGAATTGGATGTCTGTTAGTTTCCACAATGACCTTGTCTTTCTTTCTTTCCCGCGCTGCTCAGTGATGCCACTATGTTACATTAGATGGGTTACCCCCCGCTCCCCACCGTTCAGCCCGCGTTTCATTCATTGCCCCTTCATTCAGCCTGTCATCTGCAGTGTTGCTCATATAAACATGAAACAATTAAACTGCGTGGGTCCTATTTTGACGCCTCCCTGGTGAATACACGCCTTAATCTTTGCTTATAAAGCTTAGTCATACAGTAAGGCGTGTTAGCACTAGATACAGCAGTCTGCTAAATGGCAAGCATATGGTAAGAAAGAAAGGGGGGTGTGGGGGTGTTTGAGGGATGGAGAGAGACAGATCTTCCAAGGTGTGGTTGACGATATGATGGTAGTAAATATTCCTTGTTATGCTAAGAAATAAAAATGATAATAATTAGAGATCAAAATGGTTAGAGTGCCTCTCCCAGCAATCAGTCTTCAACAGCTTCTCGTTTTACTCACATTCCACAAAAAGCTAACAACCAAAACAAAGGAAAATATGTTCCTTGGCTGGGGAAATAAAGCATTAACAAGCATGTTTTGTAACAGACAACTCTTTTCAATTATTCACCCACCCACTCACACAGTTCCTCCTCCTGCATCGCCCCCCCAACCCCCCCCCCCTTTCCCTTTCTTCCTCTGTTTCCATGTCTTTCTGCCGGCCACAAGAGTTTCTCTCACGACACCTTGATGTGGTGTAGAGTGAGTTCCTGGGAAGTGCACTTTGTACCATCCCCAGTCATTCCTTACTTGTAATCCCTGAGTCATGACACTAGACGCCTGCCGCATGCACCGCACGCCACTGACTGTCCGACTGCGCGTCTGCTTGGCTCGCTTACTGGTTTCGGCCACCACAGGCCTCTCCCTTCCCCACATTACCAGTCTGACTGTGAACCCCAACTGGCCTGACTCTGCCCCAAAATGGCTCCACAAACACCCACGTGTTGTCCTCTTGCTCTGTTGCTGTTTCTGTTTTATGGTTCTACATTTAGGCGCTGTGTTTCCTACAGTGGAATGGAAACTGGGCTAGTTTAGCCTGCTTTGAGAAAATCAGTCCCACTGTCCTGAAAAGCAGCAGGTTTGTTTCACCACGGATGTTCAGCTGTCCACAACCAGGCCATGTCACTCATTTCTGTTCAGTTTATGTTCCAGATTTTCTTCCCTTGTTTTCTCTTTTGTCTGCCTTTTTCGCTGCACACCACCTGTTTTTGGAGTCAGTGTGCAGTGTGTGTGCTGCTTTTGTAATCAGGTGAACAAGTGGGGCAACAGCTCCAGACTTTATGTGTATCAGACCGACAGCATCAGTTGTATTGATTGCTTGGCCTTCCCAAGAACAGAAGGATAAAGAAGGGCGGGTTTGTGTGGGTGGGGGGGCTCTGTTGTGTAGGTGCGACTCTGTGGCAGTCAGGCGGGAGGCACATGTGCTCTGGCAGCCCTGGAGGAGGTCGAGGAATACTGCTGTTGGAGTTGTGGCTATGAAAGTAAAAGCAGCTGGATTCCGCAGCTTTGTCTGCCTAGTCTGACCTCCCTAGTGTCACTGTTTTCAACATATTAAAATGAGTTGCCTTTTATCGATTACATCAGCTGTTAGGCCCACATGTCCAG